CTCTTTATGGCTTCGTGGAACAAGACCCTGCGGTGATTCAAGGGCTCAATTAACAGCGCCTCCTACTCAGTGCAAAGCACGTTAGCGACCCTGGGCGCGCGCCGGCGGGTCGGGTTGGGGGGGGGCGCCCTGACTTCCAGCGGGGCTCGGGGATGGGTGGGACCGGCTGGCGGGGGCGCCGCAGGGCGGGCGGGGGCGGGGGCGGCCGGGATGAGGCGAGAGGCCGCGCGGCGCTGATTCGCAGGTGGAGTGCGTGGGAAGCTGCAACGCCCGCCCGCAGGGAGCTCAGTCCACACCCGGCCAGTCTGGAGTGTATAAATTCGCCGGCGGAGGCGCGCTCCGCCCGCAGACCTGGGACGAGTGCACGTTCCAGCCTCGTCCCGCCCCGACCCTGCACGGGCCTCTCCTCCATCCGCGCCCGCCGCCGAGATCCTCCCCGGCCTCGCGGGGACCCCCGGCCCCTCACAGGTGCTGTCGCGGGGCCCGGCCCCCTCGGCCCGGACGGCGGCGCATCGTCTCGCGGGGTGGGCCTGGGGGAGAGGGAGCTGGGGTCCTCCCCGCCCGGACGCCCCTGTTGGGTTCCGAGCCCCCCGGGGACGCGGGTGAGGGCGGGGCGGGCGGGGAGCAGCCCCCCGAGTCCAGCCCAGGGCGCGTCCCCCGAAGCGCCCACCTGAGGGGGGGCCGGGAGGGCGGGGGAGCCACCTGGACGCGGGGCCGGCGGTCAGTGGGGAGGAAGGTTCTAGACTTTCCGCTGGGATTCTGCTCCCCGGCGCCTGGAGGGGTCGCCGCGGGTGGGGCAGGGGCGGGAGGAGCGTCTTCCTCGCCTGAGCCCCGCGACTGTCCCGGGGCGCCTCGCGGAGACGGGGTGACTGGGCGCGAGTTCTCAGCCTGGGATTCCAGGACAACCCAAAGCCACTCCAGAGAGAAGTGAAAGGTTTATTGAGAAAGGGGGTGCAGAGCAGAGCCGGGGGCCCGAAGGCGGGGAGCAGCCAGAGATCAATCACTCAACGTGCGCCTGCTAACCTGTGTCGTCGCGGCGCCAGCCCGGTCCGCAGACGCCAGAAGCACCCCAGGGGCTCGTCTCTCCCTCTGGGACCCGCAGAGCGGCCTGTCCCGGTCCCGGCCCACACCTGCCCAGGGAGTCCTGCTGAAGCTTCTGGGCCTTGCAGTTCCAGCCGCCCACTGCACAGAGGGCGAACTCGGTCGCCCCCCCCACACCTCGCGCGAGGCCGGCTCTGCGGCCCCACCCCGGCTGCGCGAGGACGCGGCGCTGCCGCCTCAGCTGGGCTGACTGACCTTGTGGGAGCCTTGGGGAGAGAAGATCCCCATCACTGAGGAGAAGAGAGTTGGAAAGACCCGGAGTGGGGGAAATAGATGGGGAGATGAGCAAGGGGAGGGAGGAAAGGGGAGAGGGAGAAGAAAGTTGTGGCCGCTGTAGGAGAGGAGCTCAGGGATCCTCCCCCCCCACACACACACACCCACACACAATCCTGCCAGCTAGAGAAGGGTTTTATGGTGCTATGCTGAGGAGAAAGGGGAGAGGTTATTCCAAGTACATTTGGGGGGAGGGGGGTGTTTTTTCTCTTTACCTCCTTCTTAGCAGAGAGTTGTCTTCCTCCCTAAGCATGGGTCAGCTTCCAACGTGTCATCCCTTGTGCTTTCACTGTCATGAAATGTATCTGGGATATTGAGTGACAAGAAAGAAAAGACAGACAGTGACAGTGTAGGGAGGATGTGGAGAGAGTGAACCCCTGGGTGGGGTGTCTGGGAGAGTGTGTGGAGATGGAGTCAGTGAGGAGGGTGACAGACACAGTGAGGTGAGGGGGTGTGCTGGGCAAGACCTGCTTGTCCGTGATACTGGAGTTTCCAGAGTGAAATGTGGACGGTCAGGGATGAGGAGCAGGTATTGTCAGATCATGTGGAGTTTCCATTTTTAATTCTGAAGAAATTTCTACCCCAAGAAGTGGGTGATTTTTAAAAACATCTCTTCCAGGCTTTCCTCAGGGATCTGAGGTCTTGTCTCTCTCTGGTCCTGCTGGTCCGCCTTAGTCTGGATCACTCCGTACATCAGTGCACTTCTTCTTTTTTTTTTTTTAAGATTATTTATATTTGTTTATACAAGCACTGGGTACAGTCAGAAGCGCGGGAGGGTAGAGAATTCACCAGAGCCAGAGCGGGGAGCAGAGCAGGCAGAAGGACCGAAGTACACTGCTGAGGGAGCAGCGGGCAGCAGGAGGGGTCTGCGAGCCATGTGGGACCCTCCTCCGGTGGCCGGGGAGCAGCGGGGGATCGAACCGGCGCGGCAGAGGCCGGGGGCAGCTTCGCAACCCAGCGCTCAAGCTCTGCGCCACCAGGGAGGCCCATCAATGCACTTCTGACAAAAGCTGCACGCACCAGGCAAGATGAGGTCTGCGGACCATCCACACAGATCTGGCCTCCTCAGCCGGGGTCACTATGTCTTCTCTCCTTGCAGTCATCATTGTTCTTAAGTGTTGTGTCCAGTCTGTCCTTGAGTGGGATGTCACAGAGATAACCACTTAACATCAACTGGCAGGAATAGAATCTAGACCACCGTGTTCCCAGTGTGGATCGGATATGGACAAAGTGAACCCCCGGGCTGGGTAGAGAGACCAGGGATGGAGAGTCAGTGAGGGTGAGTGGCTATGTGTTGGGGAAGACCTGCTGGTCCCTGACCCTGGAGGTTCCAGAGTGAAATATGGACCGTCAGGGATGAGGAGCAGGAGGAGAGGGTGCAGGTCGGTGGGGACCTGCTCCCTTGGCTTGTTCAGTCCTTCATCACAAATGGACTAGCATGGCCTTTTGGGGAATAAAATTTTATTTTATTTATTGTCCTTTAATTATTTCATTTATTGAACTTACTGACTTTATCTCTTGTGTTTCATTTATTATAATTCTTTTACTTATTGCTTTGTTTTAATTTTTAGTTTTGTTTAATTTTATTTATTTTGACATACAACTGGGTGTAGGCCAGAGCTTGGGGAGGGGATGAAAGGTTTACCAGAGACAGAGTGGGGAGCCAAACAGGCAGATCTTCTGAAATACTCTGCTGAGGAGAGCATCAGGCCAGACTGGAGAGGTTCTGCTGTGCCATGTGTGTCACCTCCCTGGCTCAACATGGAACTGAGGCCATCCCATGGGCCTTCACAGTGGCGGGAGATGGTAGTCACCAGGGAGCACCTATTTTAGTTCTTATATGATTTTATTTAAATAATTTTATTTATAGGATTTTAAGGATTTCTTTTTGAGTTTTTCATTTTTTATCTTAATGTTTTATTTTAGTTCATTTTCTTGTATTGGGTTTTCTCTCCTCACCCAAGTTACCTGGACCCACCAGACGCCGGGCCAGGGTGACGGGGCTGGGGTGAGTCCAGGGCAGGTGGGGGTGACCGGGCAGCTGCGGGGACTGCGTGGGCAGGGCCTCGGGGAGTCCAGGGGCTTCTGGATCAGGGCAGCGGCGTCTGAGAGGCGCCCACCAGACACCCCAAAGACGAGGCAGAGAGTCCGGGAGGAGCAAACACGGCAGGTGACCCTGGAGAGAACAGCCCTGAGCCCGGGCGGGGCCGCTCTGAGGGGAGGGGGGAGGACGCGCCCCCCGAGCAGAGCCGCCCCCCCCCACCTTAAAGTACAGCGCACCTGGGAGTCCTGACTGTCTTCCTTTAGTAAACTTTCTTTCTTTTTTTTTTTCTAACTTTCTTTCTTAAACAAAGCTTGTTTCTTTCTGCTTACTCAGGTAAAATGTCTGCGAATTCTTTTTCAAGGGTTGGTGGGACAAGAACCTATGGGAACTTAAGGGAAAATAACTGCACACGAGGGGCCTCCCTGGTGGCACAAGGGGGTGAAGCACTGCACTAGGAAGCAATCTGCAACCTCTGCAGCACAGTTTTGATCCCCGGTGGCCAGGGAGAAACCCACATCAGACAATCCACATGGAGCCGCAGACCTCTCCTGTCTTGCCTGCTGCTCCCCTCAGCAGTGTATTTCGTCAGTCTGCCTGTTCTGTTCCCCACTCTGTCTCTGGTGAATCCTCTCACTGCCCGCACCTCTGGCCTGTACCCCAGCTGTTGTGTGCATAAATACATAAATCTTAAAAAAAAAAAATAAGTGCACACGCTGGAGTTGGCTGCTGGGCTGGTCTGGCCTTTCCCGCAGAGCCTGCCCGCTCCAGAGAAGTGGGAACACGGCCACCACACCCCTTGTCTCTCCTCCCGGCAGATGCTCACTCTCGGGTGTGAGTCATCGCTCCAGCTCAATCTCAGGAGAGACGGGGTTCAACTTCCCCGCGCCGCGCCCGCCCCGCCGAGATCCTTCCCCCCCTGGCCCTCACAAGTGCAGTCACGGGACCCGCGCCCCATGGTTTTGGAGTGGGGGGGACAGGGGAGCTGGGCTCCGAGCCCCCCGGGGACGCGGGTGAGGGCGGGACAGGCGGGGAGCAGCCCCCCAAGTCCAGCCCCGGGGCGTCCCCCAAGCGCCCCCTGAGGGGGGGCCGGGAGGGCGGGGGCGCGCCTGGCGCAGGGGAGCCGCCTGGACGCGGGGCCGGCGGTCAGTGGGGAGGAAGGTTCTAGACGTTCTGCGGGGATTCTGCTCCCGGCGCCTGGGGGGTCGCCGCGGGTGGGGCAGGGGCGGAGGAGCGTCTTCCTCGCCTGAGCCCCGCGACTGTCCGGGGCGCCTCGCGGAGACGGGGTGACTGGGCGCGAGTTCTCAGCCTGGGATTCCAGGACAGCCCAAAGCGGACTCTAGAAATGAAAGGTTATTGAGAAAGAGGATGCAGAGGCAGAGCCGGGCCGTGCGCCGCAGCGGAGAAGCGCGCGATGGATAAAGTAACAACAAAATTAACGGGCCAAACCCTGTGCGTCCCGCCAGCGGGACAGCCCGGTCCGCAGACGCCAAAAGCACCCCAGGGGCTCATCTCTTCCTCTGGGACCCCAGAGAGCCTTGTGGGGGTCCCAGCGCACCCGCTCCGGAACCCGGTGCTGCGACCCGGGACCGGCGGCTCAGCGGCCGCGTCCACAGGACGAGGGTCCCCCCAACCGCCCCCCCCCTGCCCCGCGCGAGGCCGGCTCTGCGGCCCCACCCGGCTGCGCGAGGACGCGGCGCTGCCGCCTCAGCTGGGCTGACGGACCCTGGGGAGCCTTGGGGAGAGAATCCTCCTCACTGAGGAGGAAAGAGTTGGAAAGACCCGGAGTGGGGAAATAGATGGGAGATGAGCAAGGGAGGGAGGATGGGGGGGAGAAGCGCACAGATCCCCCCCCACCCCGCAACACACATATTCAATCCCACCCACTGAACAGCGGGCTTTATGGTGCGATGCGGTGGAGAGAGGAGAGGGTTATTCAAAGTACATTTTTGTGGGTTTTTTCCTCTTACATCGTTGTTAATTTTTGCACAGTGTTTGATGTCCCACCTCTGCTGCAGTCCTGGTGCTTTTCCCACCACAGTAGCTCCCAAGATGCCTCACCGCAGTCCCTGTGCTCTTCCATCCCCGTTTCTGTTTTTTCTAAATAACTGTTATAATTAAATACTTGCAAAATGCTCCATAGCCGTTGGTGAGTCCTAGCCAAGGTCGTCCTTAGTAATGGAGGAAGAGTGAACGTTGTCCACTCTAGTTATGTATAAATTCTACCCCAGGTGTCACGCCAGGCACAGGTGACTCTCACCAGTTGCTCTCTCACCCTCTCAGCAGGAATGGCCCTGGCATCTCACACCCTGTGTTTTCTTTTGCTGCTGCTGCTGCTGCTGCTGGAACAAGCCTGGAAGACTGTGGGCTGTGAGTGTCCTGGGGTCTCCTGGGGAGGAGGGTAGAGGGAGGACCTGAGCAGAGGGACTTGGGGCAGGTCTCAGCAGGGGGCGCCTGTTCCCTTCTCTACAGAGAGCCAGGGTGTGGTCTGTGCTGACAGGCTCCCCAGGATGTTACACCCAGTTCTGCAAACTCAGCCTAAAGCGCCTTCTGTCCCCTTGGGCTCACAGGAGGCAGCTCACCCTCTGCCTGCCCAGTCCCACCTTCTCCAGGAGCTTTTCCTGAAACCTGGGACTATCATGACATTCCTCATGTCCTGTGGTGTCTTTTCCTTTCTGTGGAAAGTCCTCTCAGTGAGATTACATATCACTGAAGATAGTAATCAGTGGAATCCTTCAGGGCACAGGAGGGTCCATGATGGCTTCAGAGTATTTAACCCCAGAGAGTTCAAGGTGGAGCAGCACTGAGATGATGAGGGGCTGGAGGGAAACTCCTCCCTCTGCAGCAGGCCCTGCCCAGGGTCCCCAGGCCTCACC